ATTTTGTTAAATAGAAGTATGAATTGGGCCCAAGGCCGTTTGACCATGTTGTTTCTACATATTGTTATGTAACTGTCATATCTGATATATTCACTGGGCTATCGCTCACGCTCATTCATGTGTTTGTAGGTGAAGCCAAGAGAAGCACAAACCCAGCGCCCAGTGAAGTCTGCTAGGAACAACATGAGTTTTGGGAGAGTCAGCCTTGTGCCTCACGCATGAGACCTCCTTGCCCTTTTACATTGTACTTATGTTTTGTCTTGTTGGCAAGGACCTAGTGCATGTCTGTACATAGTCTGTTATAGGTTGACTCGTTTTTGGATGATCCTGTCTGTAATTGAATTTTGTGAAACTGTACTTTTGATGTGAGTTATTAATGTATCTGAGTATGGTTTGTTTGATGTGCATTATAAGCACGGCTCATTATGGACAAAGTTTTTTTTTTAATTTTGCTTCCGTTTGGCCCCCATTAACTATGTTAAAATACGTTTAGATCAGTTTGAGGCCGTAGGTAATCTCATGATTACTGGCCGATTACGTCCTTAACCCACGGGGGCGGGTTCGGGTCGTGACACAAATGGATCAATAGACAAATACAAGGCAAGACTTGTAGTCAAAGGTTTTAGACAGAAAGAAGGTCTAGATTACTTTGACACATACTCACCGGTTACTAGAATAACATCAATTAGAATGCTAATTGTCATTGCATCTCTATACAATCTAGAAATTCATCAAATGGATGTTAAAACCGTTTTCTTAAATGGCGAGTTAAATGAAGAAATTTACATGGAACAACCAGAAGGGTTTTCTGTTCCAGGAAAAGAAAAGAAAGTGTGTAAATTGGTTAAATCATTGTATGGTTTAAAACAAGCGCCAAAGCAAATGGCATGAGAAATTTGACAAGGCAATGCTGTCAAATGGATTTAAAATTAATGAGTGTGACAAATGTGTTTATATTAAAAACACAGATAAAGGTTATGTCATTGTATGTCTTTATATAGATGATATGCTCATCATTAGTAGTAATAATGACATGATTAAAACTACCCAAAAAAATGTTGAATAAACATTTTGACATGAAGGATATGGGCATTGCTGATATAATACTTGGTATGAAAATTACCAAAACATTAGAAGGATATGCTTTGTCACAATCTCATTACATTGAGAAAATACTTGACAAATTCAGCAAAGATGATGATCATCTTGCTAGAACTCCTGTAGATGTTAATTTGTATCTTTCTAAAAATGTACAGGAAAGTATTTCTCAATTAGAGTATGCCCAAATTATTGGAAGCTTAATGTACTTGATGAACTGCACCCGCCCAGATATAGCTTATGCAGTAAGTAAATTAAGTAGATACACGAGTAATCCGGGAGTAGAACACTGGAAAGCAATTATAAGGGTTCTAAGATATCTCCGATTTACTCGTAACATTGGGCTGAATTATACTAGATATCCAGCAGTACTTGAAGACTTCTTTTTTTTTTTTATAGTTATGACTTAAAAAGTATGAAATTATTCAATTTTCTTTTATAATTATAACGTGTATATGGTATATACCCTTTGAGGAGTGTGTACCATAGTTTTTCCACAAAATATATATGAGTAATTCTAAATTTTATGAAAGAAATATCATAAAAGTTTTATGAAGATTCTCTATTATTGGATTAGTTTGTGGTGTTTTATTGTATCTTAATGCAATCACATATACTTACTCCCGATTATTCATAGAGCACTATAAGACAAAGAGTAAGTTCATGTACACAGAAACTAAACATAGAATGTAACACAACTCTCTAACATTAAAGTAAGTTGCTTTATATTAGATTATTTCTTTTAAGCCTATTAAATAAGAGTTACCACAACAGCAATCCAACCTAGTTGACTGGAGATCCCAAGATCTAGGTTCAAAGGGACAACCGAGTTGTGAATGACTCAGAAGGATCACTGGGGAGTTTATCTCCTACCCATTTCTTTGATGAAATAGTGATGTCTGCAGCGGTTTAGGTTAAGTAATACTTTTAATGATTCTTATATCTAGGTAAACCTAGTGGAGTATGGCATGATACTTTTCATAAGAATCACCTATGTGAGTGTGAACTGGGCCGGTTCTATAAGATTTGTGAAGGGCTACAAGTCTTTAGAGCACTCATGAAAGACCAGGTTGTTCAGGGCCAAAATGAACACAATAGTGAGAACTAAACTGTGTCTGGAGATATACTGTGTGAGTTCTATTGTCTTGGTTTACACAAATGGCTGAACAGTTCAAGACATCATGTTTGCTGTTTAGCTAGTAAATCCGATAGTATCTCACAAGGGAAGGTTCAAAGCCAAAAGCTACCTATCATTTGCAGAATATTTTCAATTTCTGTACTCTCTGTATTTACATCATATTGTTGTATTTTTTCTCTGTCAATTTCATTCATGTGGGGGATTGTTGGAAAACTTATAAAGAGGTAGTTGTGAATTGAAATAGACTCCATTTTGAATGAAATGGTGTAACCTTTCATGGTGTCTTTTTATTTTAAAGGAAGGGTCAAACCTCCATATGAATGAAAGGGTGCAAACCTTTCACGGTGTCTCTTTATTTTAAAGGAAGGGGTATGTCCCTTTTCCACACCTTTTCTATTCAAATTGAATAGGTGCCAACAAAGCCTATATAAAGGCAGCCCCATTCCAATTTTGATTGATTCCGAAAATTCATTTTTCTTGCCTTCATTTTGCTCTCTTGCGTCCTTTATTCTTCATATTATTTTAAGAAAAATTTCAGAGAGTTATAGAACACAAGGTTCTGGTTCGTCGAATAAATTTGGTTGAAGTGCTACTACAAATTTGTGAAGATCATTGTATCCTACGAGATAAATGCCACATAACCGTAAGCACCGTAGCGGGGCGAATCTGTCTTAAGGAAGAGTGTCACACACTCGACTTGATCTTTAAATTATTGATTCGGTTCAACAAAATAAATTCTGTAAGTTTTATTTTATTTTGTTTGAATTAATATAAGCTATTTTATTTACACAGAAGATTGTTCCAACAGTTAACAAAATAAAATTCTAAATATACATACACTATAAATCTGAATACATTGGCTCCGTTTAGGAAGCAAATTTGGGCTAAAATAATCATACAGGATAAAATAGACCATTTTAGCAAAATAAGACAAAATATTACATTCAATTCATAATCATTCCATTTTTTATTTCACAAAAGTCAAAAAAGTAAAAAAAAATCTATCTCAAACGAAATTTTTTAACCCCAAACTAAAATAACCAAAAAGTCAACCCACATATCAAACCAACTCATTATCAATATAAATTGTTTTTTTTTTATAATTATTTTAAGTTACCATTGTGACAAAAACAACAAACCAAAGAAAACCTTATACAAATTAATAATTGCTATAAATTGGTTACGCAATTACTTTTTTTTTAAAAACTATCATAATATTATAAATATCACATTAATAAGTAAAAAAATTATTAACTTATTCAGAAAATAATTTTGCAGCATGAACTCTCTCTCTCTCTCTCTCTCTCTCTCTCTCTCGTGTCCGAAGTCCGAAAACACACAAGTGTGATGATGTGTCGTGGGACAAAAGTCTTGCGCTGCCTTTTCTGTTTGGCCGTTGAGAATAGTCGAGAAAGTGACACGAAAAATGTCCCATTTCTGTTTTCACATTTCTCTCTCTTCCTCAGTATGACACTAGAGAACGAAAAACTACTGTGAGAAAGCATCAGAGAGGGAGTTGATTGAGCAAGAATACACGGCATGATTGACGAGCTCTAGACAAGAAATTCATCCCCGAGTGTGAATTGGAATGACGTCTCTCTCTCTCTCTCTCTCTCTCTGTGTTTTCCACTAGAAGAAATTGCCGAAGAATTGAACCTTATGCGTCCGTTACATGCAGAGTCAATTTGGCGTTTCTTCCCTCAATTTCTTCATCGGGAGCAGATAGTGAAACCGCATCATTTGTCGCATTCGAGATGGAGAAAAAGGACAAAAAGTCCAACAACTTTGAGCTCCCTTCAAAATTTTCTATAACTCTCTGAATTGATTCTGTAACTTTCTCGAGAAAAACTGCGAGAAAGCTACACGAAAACAGAGCACTAATAAGCATTTAAACACGAAATCCCCAAATCTTCATTTCATCAACGTGTGTGAACACATTAAATTCATTAATCTCGAAAGCTATAAATCTCCATCAAATCTACACAGATTCACAGCTTTTAAAGATGATCCACGGGAATTCCGATTCAGACGTGACGAGCCAAGCTCCATCATCTCCAAGATCTCCGAAGCGACCATTGTACTACGTACAAACCCCCTCGCGCTACTCATCTTCACGCGATGGCGATAAATCGACTCTGGCGTACACGAGTCCAATGGATTCGCCATCGCATTCGTCAACAATGGCGTCGTCGGCGAGCAGACTCGGGCCACGGAAAGAGGAACGAGAAGGGGTGGCCGGAGTGTGAGGTGATTGAAGAGGAAGGAGATTATGAGGATTACGTGTACGGTGGTGATGATGAACGGTTTAGGAGGAGGAGTCAGTGTTTGATTGGAGTTTTGGGGTTTGTCTCCATCTTCACTCTGTTCTGTTTGATCATCTGGGGAGCTGCTAGGCCTTATGGACCAAGGATTGCTGTCCAGGTATATCCATGTTTGATCTTTCTGTTTTGTTCTAAATTTGCAAAAACAGTTTTTATGGTTCATTTGGAATTTTTTTTTTTTTTTTTTTTAAGTGAAAAAAAATTGAGATATTTTTTTAAAAATGTTACCTATTTTAAATATTTTATCAAAAATTCCATCAAACACTCACATGTGTGTGGTCCACTCCCATGTGAGTGTCATATTCATGTGAGTATTTAGCAAAGAATAATTATACATATACTAATAATCTTACTTAGAGCATCTCTAAGGGTTCACCAAATTTTTCACTAAATTTGAGTTAAAAAAAGATTATTTTTTCAATCTGATACAGACTGCTTCAATGGTTGTCATCAAAGCAGGGGTCAACCGGTTAGTGTATTTTTTTTTTTACCTCTTTGAACCTTTTGACCTGCTTGAACCAACCTATTTGCAATGGAACCGGTCGACCGGTTGGTCTCCCCCAACGGTTACGCATAGTAAATTGGTGAAATCTTCTCCCTGTTCTCACTTTGATGAAAAATTTGGTCAATTCTCGTTTTGATACCAATTTGATGAAACCATTGGAGCTGTAAAAAGTGACTTTTTTACCAAAATACAGACTGCTTCAATGGTTGTCATCAAAGCAGGGGTCAACCGGTTAGTGTATTTTTTTTTTTACCTCTTTGAACCTTTTGACCTGCTTGAACCAACCTATTTGCAATGGAACCGGTCGACCGGTTGGTCTCCCCCAACGGTTACGCATAGTAAGGCCAAGTTTGGCATGACCTAAATAATACAAAAAGTCAAAAAATTACTATCCTATTTAAGTCGCATCATCTTATTTAAATCACATCACCTCTCTAACACATCACATCAAACCTAACCCAAACCCAACTCATATAAGCCAATAAGTCAAAAAGTGCACTTTTTTAGAACATCCCAAACCAACCCTAAATTGGTGAAATCTTCTCCCTGTTCTCACTTTGATGAAAAATTTGGTGAATTCTCGTTTTGATACCAATTTGATGAAACTATTGGAGTTGTAAAAAGTGACTTTTTTACCAAATTTCAAATCTGATGCAAAGGTTTGGTGAAGCGTTGGAGATAGTCTTAGGCACTATTTGACATTCCCTACAAAAGTATATTTTTTTTCTTTTTTATTTTTTTGAGTTACATCACTTCTCTATTTTTTTTTTCACATCTTTTTGTAACAAATTAAAAAGTATATTTATTTATATCATCATTTCCCATGTGATTGGTTGTCCCAAAAAAAAATAACATTTAAGACATATATTTTTAATAAGATTGTTGGTAAGATATTAAGTAAATGTAGCATTATTTTGGTAAAATATTTTATACTTTTTTTTGACTTTTTATAAAACAAAACGTGCTCAACGTAAAGCGAATGAGTAAGATTTTGACTGTTTTTAATAATTTTTGGCCTTTTCGTTTTTTTGACATTTGTAGTGATTTTTTTGACTATTTACTTGGATTTGTAATCAAAAAGTCATCATAAATTGTAATATCACTTTTTTCATTAAAAAAATTAAAAATTCAATTAAAATAGACAATTTTTAAATAGGGGTTAGAGTTCCTTTGAGAATTAACTAATTTTTTTTGACATTTTACAAAAGACATAAAAAAATAGATATATATATATATATATAGATAATGAATTGACTTTTTGTAATCACGTTTTGGCTGACAAGTTTGGCAATAGGCTATTTCAGTCAAAAAGTTAAAAAATCATTACTAAAATGTTAATTATTCTCTTTAATTTTCCACACATCTTTTCATAAAAAATTACAAAACTAACTAAAATAGTTAGTTCTGAAAATGACACCACTTCCCAAACACCATTTGCCATGCAGCCTTAAAATTTTAATTCACATAACACCCCACCACTACTACATTTTTTTCTAAACAAGTACTGTAAATATTTATTTTAAATAAATATTGACCATATTCCTTTTAAATCTATAATATCACTGAAAAATATTTCCATTACATCCTTTTAAATCTATAATGTCACTGAAAAATATTTCCATTACAGCTAAATTATAGTATATCAAATCTTGTGTCTACAATAAATCATTTCACTTTTTTAAGTTTTGATGCATTGTTATTGATTTTTGAAAATGCTTTCATTTGGAATGTTTTTTTTAGCAGCAATGGTAGAGGGCCACAAAAATAGTGGCTCAAATGGCTCAAAACTGTCAAAACGACGTCGTTTTTGGAGCAAAATCTGCCAAAACGACGTCGTTTTGACAGTTTTGAGCCATTTGAGCCACTGTTTTTGTGGCTCTCAAACATTTTTCTTTTTTTAGTGTTTCCATGGTATCTGAAATATGGATGCATCCCCTCACAAAGTACCCTTTTGTTTTCAGAGCTTGATAGTAAACAATTTCTACTTTGGGGAAGGAACAGATGGCACAGGGGTCCCTACCAAGTTACTTACAGTAAACTGTTCAGTGAAGATGATGATACACAACCCTGCTACATTTTTTGGCATTCATGTCAGCTCTAACCCTGTTCATCTTTTCTATTCACAGATTGCAGTTGCAACTGGGCAGGTGAGAAAATTTTTATGTATTTTTTCAATATAGATTAGTAATTGGTATTATGGTATGAATTAGAGCTGTGCGAAAAAAATCTATCAACTCTTGCTAACCCAAATCAACTTGCGTTGTTTGAGAGGTAAAAATTGATAGGTTGGCTCACCTGCGAGTTGAAATTTGTCAATTCACCTACAAATCAACTCAACCTGCCTATCTGTATAAGCAAATTTACCTAACGTTTGCTCACAGAATCTATCCTAACTCTAATACTATTAGTCAAACCACACTCATCCCTCATAAATTTGTTGTATAATATGATTAAAGTACTAAATTATATACATATCTCTAATTTTTCCTTCTCTCTCTCTCTCCCATGTTTAATCTTTTTAATTCTTTTAACTCATCAATTGCTATCCTTCATATGCTATATCATCCCCATTAGTATGAATAAATCACTTAGTTTTTTTATTTTTACAGACGATGGGTTATAGGGCATCAAAGATTAGATTATCCCAATTAGTCTAATGATCATTTTGCAGAATCAATTACCCAAACAAATCATGAAACAAAAAACTAATCATGTTAAACATGGAAGTTTAAGTCTCCAAACTCCATTCATATTGTTGTTGAACTTCCTTTTTTTTTCTTTTGAATTTTCATTTAGAATTTTTCTCTCTTTTAATGATTCCATTCCAGTTGAAAAAATATTATCAGCCAAGAAAGAGCCAAGGAATCGTGTTAGTGAACCTGGAAGGCAATAAGGTACCCCTATATGGTGCCGGAGGAAACATAGAAGTGTCAGACAAGAGCGGTGGAGTTCCATTCAGGTTAGAGTTTGACATCCGATCACAAGGAAATGTAGTTGGCAAGTTGGTGAAAACAATGCATAAAAGGCACATCTCTTGTAACTTGCTCATTGGCTCTAGTAACACCAAATCCATCAAATTCAAGAATGATTCTTGTTCATATGACTAAATTTATTGGAGTTCGTGCGCCTGCAATACATACCCATCTCCATGTTCGAACTCTGAGGAAGCCGGTTGAGACATTCACCCTCCTCAAGCGTTCTCTTCAAGTGGAGGATGATAATCACCATGAGTGGTAAGTCTGAGTTTATATTTGATCAAGTTTGTGTCGTACTATCTTTTCTTCTCCACCTTTTGTTTTAAGAGCTGGTTTTTGATAGTTGAGTTTATAAAAAAAAAATCATCATACCCCAAATAGTTTTCATCAAGCTATGTTAGCTTTACAAGATTATGAAATTTTAGTGGTTGAATGGCCTTCAACATGTACAAACAGTTGAGTAATTTAAAGTCCCTGCATTTCCCGTAATCTCGCTTATTCGTTCCAAACAATGAGATAATGAATTTTCCCTAATACTGTGATTTGGCTTCCCAAAAGTTCCAACAAGAGTTGGTGTATGATTTTAGATGCATACCAGGGCTCATGTCCATCTCAAATATAACAGATTGCAACCAATTACATCTGTATTTGTGTGTGTGTGTGTGTGTGTGAGAGAGAGAGAGAGAGAGAGAGAGAATTTTCTCATTATATTCCAAGATAATAAAGGGTCAATGTACAATTACATCACCACATGAAACCTCAAGAAATTGAGCCGTCTAAAGAAATGTCCTCTTTCTCTCTATCTCGGATAAATAATATATTTTACAGGAGGAATGGCGAACATTGTGAGATTTTTTTGAGGAAAAAAAAAGACAAGACAATAAAAAAAAAACCAAAAAACAAAAAAGATGGCATTAACAGCCTGATAATGCATCTCCAACCTACTGATGTAATCAGAAGCAGGTTTCATTGGGATGCTAAAGTGCTCTCCGGCTTGTCAACAGCACAGCCCTCTGGAAGAACTGTCCCACCAACCCTAGTCAGGGGCCAATATCGAAATACAGATCTTCCTATGATATTCTTGGCAGGAAGGGGACCCCTACAAAACAAAATATTTCTAAAATCAGCAACGTCGGTGAGGGAAGCTATGACAACAGAGAAGAGGAAGATGAAAACAACATAAATAAAATAAAATAAAAACTCACGAATGCGGACCAAGGAATAAGAATATTACCATACGTGTGAATCATAGCTGTTATTACGATTATCGCCCATCACAAAGACTGAGTTCTCTGGAACACGCTGCATCACAACATACATAGCAATTTTAGAATTGAATCGTCTGTAATTTTATGCCCATAAGCTTTCTGTGAGATGGAGCTCGAATTTTATACCCAAGGTCATAGGTTTGAATTTTGAATCGTTGGCCTCCAATACGAGCCACCTCTAAATTCACTTCAAAAGAAAGGGGAAGAGAAGGGGGGTAAGGGGGGGTAAGAAAAGAGAAGCTCCGATTGTAGCAGAGGAAAACTTACAATTGGTGACATGTCATAATTAGGCGATTCAAGGATGTAGTTTTCGTTTCTTACAACCCCATTCACAATTAGCTTACCTCCACGAACCTGCAGTGGATACCAATAAATTTTAAGGGGGAAAAAACTGGGGGAAAAAAAAAAAAAAAAAAAAAGAAAAAAAAAAGTGTTATAAAAATTAAATGCTCATGTTTAATGCAGGCTCATTTGAATATGCTTCTATATTTACAATATAAAAGGTAATTCACAGTAGTGGTCTGGCAGTTGTAGAGAATCTGAAAGTAAGATAACGGAAAAGTTTTGTACCTTACGATGATGATGATGATGATGATGATCTTATTTCTTTGGTGGAGTTAAATAAGTAGCCAAATTTCAACTTCCTTGAAATTTGACTTTTGATGTTGTTGACTAATTAGACCTAGAATGTCAAAAGCATGTTCACATGGCCTTCTATGGTGTTTCTCCAAACTTCACATTGCACTTGAGATAGATGAAATTCAAGATGTCTATATTGATAATAAAAACAATGTAACTATTGGCAACAGGAATGGTGTGCACATATTTACCAGGATTACATTTAGATGACTCTGAAACACAATTATGACGTATCATCTATATGCATCACACCTTCTCCTTTGCTGAGCTAGAACTTATTTGAATACAGTTTTATGACCTCTTCCCCCCCCCCCCCTTAGGCATAAAAAAAAGGGTTGTCTTCTCCGATAGAATCTGTTCAGCAAGTCTCACATTGTCTAGGTATGAAAGTAAAGTGCAGAGTATACACGAGGGCAGCCTTGGTTCAATAGCTACCTTTTGGGGTTCAATTTTACCCAAGACTGACTAACACTTGGAATAGGAGTGGATGAATTATGGGTCAGTCACCTCCAGGCACCTAGTATAGGATGAATATTTTGCTTTTACTGAAGTTAATTCAGAAACAAACATAATCAAACAAGGCCTCCTAGAAAATAGACCCTTTTGGTTTAACAAGAAAACACCATTGGCAGGATTAAGACAGCACAAAGTACTACGAACAGAAAGGCAGACATCATGTTATTTATTCTTTACTTTTTTATTTCATATTACCACGATAACAAATAACAAAATGCCACATCCTGTAAAGGGGAATTACTCTTCCTAAAGACATTATGATAAATTGCTAACCACAAGATTATTGAAGTAGACAGAATATAAGAAATAGAACTAAACAATGAAGATCATGTCGTCCATTATACACACACAAAATAAAATAAAGTAGAATCGTTTACTAAGTTTAGCAGACTGACCTCCACAACATCACCTTCCTTTGCAACAACTCTTTTGATGAAGACATCCTCATCAGTATATCCTACTTCCTGCAGGACTGGAGGGCTTTTGAAAATCACTATATCATTCGGACATGGCTTTCTAAAATAGTAAGTTACCTGAAAGTTGAAGATACATACCAGTTATTACAAATTCAATGGTACATTTGATCATAGGCTGCAACTCTATCAGAAAACCAGAAAAAGAACACATAAATCTCCAAGGACATGAAAGCTCAAACATAGAGATCAATAAGTAAGCGTGAGTCTTGACCATTAAATTAGTGGGCATATTAATTTAAGCCCAAAAAATACCTTATTGGGAACTAAATGCAAACTGTCCATATGGAAAAATGAAGGAATGGGAGATTGAGCTAGTTCAATCTATAGATATATCTCACAACCCTAATATTAGTGTGTGTGTGTGTGTATAAATGCCATAGTTAAGGGAACATTGCTTGGTGCAATGCTAAAAGCTTAGGCTGCAAAGTCTCAATCTATCGGAAGATATATTTGAGTTCAACTGTGGCAACTAGAAAAAAAAAATGCCAAATATGACCCATCCACTGCGAAGATACCAACGCCCCATGAAGCCACACATTTATTTGGGTCCTGTATGCACCATCCAAGACGTATCAGGGCAATGACCCATGGCATACTATATAATTTTCCCCATCCACTCCTTCCAGTACCTCGATGACATGACCCACTCTACTGCAGCCGATACCCTTCATTTACATTTCCAGCTTGTTTCATTTAATTTTTTTTATTTACTTCATTGATTCATGAGAAAATCAAGCCTTCAAACCACTTACACACAAACAGCACAATTACGAGTTTTGTTTTTTTATTTTTTTTATTTTACCAAATGCAAGATTTTTGAAACAAAATACCCAAACCCAGGCAGTTTTAAACTTATTTTGCAAATCCAGATTGTTTCATGAAACAGTGTTTTCAAAACCCATATTTTATGGTTGAAGAAATGATTCCAAAAACAAGACATCAAAATTCTTTATAGCAAATTAATTGAAGTTGTATTTTGAACCACATGAAACATGTTAAAAACTACCACCTTCATTTGGTAAAAAAACACTCACACCATTAAAGTTCAAGTTCCACATTCATAACATTCATAATTGAAAACTCAAAACATACTGACATTAACACTACGTTTGGATTGAGTGATTTGGAGAGAAAAGAAAAGAAATGAAGTGGTATGTATTTCTCTTATTTGTTTGAATAACTTAAGTTTAGCAGAAATGGGAAGAAATTGAGAGAAATTGAGAGAAACTCATTTCTCTTGTAAGCCTCATTTTCAATATTCCCAAAGTGGAGAGATTGAGAAAGAAAAGAAACCACTATTTTCATAATATCAATTTTGTTCCTATAAAAATAAAAGAAATAAAATTATTGAAAATATAAAAAGGTTATTTTGATAATATAACATAAAATAATTTCTTTTTTTTTCTCTTAATGAAATCTAACCAAACAAAAATCAAAGAAATCACAATCATTTCTTTTCTTCCTTATCCAAACAAAAAAGAGAGAAATCACAATCATTTATTTTATTTTCTTTTCTTTTCTCTTATCACTTAACTAATCCTTTCTTTACTTTTCTCTCCTAAGTTCCTAAACATAGTGAAATAAAATAAATTTTAAAAAAAAAAAGAAAAAAAAAAGAACAAAAAGAAGAAGAAGTCGCGCAAACAAAAGGAATTTCAAATTCTAACAAAATTACGGTTAAGAATCATCACCTTCTCTGCAACAAGTCGATCCCCAACATCAAATGTTGGATACATAGACAATGAAGGAATATATCTAGGCTCAGCCACAAACGACCTAAACGCAAGCGACACTGCAATCGCCGCAAAAACAGTTCTCGCATCATCCGAAGTAAAATCCAACCATTCTGGCAAAAACCCATTTTTCTCAGCCACCTTGTCATCGTCTCCTCCACCGTCTCCGCCACCGCCACCACCGCCGCCACTTTCTTTGTCCAAAACCGCCTTGGTTTCATCAGCCGAGTTGCAATTCACTCTGCGAAACCGGGTTTTGGAGCACAGGCGATTAAACCCAAGAAAATTAGGGGTTTTCAAGGTGGGTGTGAAGTGGGTGGGATTGAATCGAAGGGTTTTTGATAGAGGGTTGAAATTGAGGATTGCGAGAGTAGGGTTTTTGATGGGTGTGAAGCATTGGGGGAAGCTGAAATCGGAGATTGATAGGGAGGGTAATGGAGGAACTACCTGTAGAGATATCCTCATCTTCGTCTTCCTCAATCGTTTACCCTCCAAGATTCGTTGAAATTGAATTCGCAATTAACTGTATTTATATTTATATATGCGCTGTTGGATATGATGTTGGTCTTACTGCCGAAATGTCTGACCTACGAAAAATTATCAAAAATGTCAGCGATTCAAAATTTTACTAAAATTTTTATTAAATACTTTACATGAGATGAGGTGTGAGAGTCATCTCCAATTTGTATGTATCAGTTTTACACTTATATTTATATGAGATATTTGATAATATTTTAAAAATCTTTGATATTATTTAAAAAGTATTAGCTGATTTAGGCATTAGAGTATCTTCAACGGTTCATCTAATATTTCACTAAATTTGAGTTAAAAAATGGTCATTTCCTTAATTTGATACTTCACGTTCCAACGGTTCACCTTCATCAAATCTCACTCAGGACAACCGGATAGTCGACCGGACCAGTCGACTGGACCGGTCGACCGGGTAGAGGAAATTTTTTTTTTTTTTTAACCATTCTGAACTATTTGAACCAACCACTGAACTGTTTAAACCAACCAACGTGAAATATTTACTGAAACGACTCTGTTCATCCAACGGTAAATTTACTCTGTCCAACCAACCAACTCTGTCCATCCAACGGTAAATTTACTGAAACGACTAATTTTAAAACATTTATATAAAAGATAACAATTTGAATTATATTTTCAATGAAATTAAAATTTATATCACCCTTCAAATATTTCAAATTATTCCAAGTCCACAAAATAAACTATCTAAAAATAAACCTATCTGAAATTCTACCTGTTCAAACCAAACCTGTTGAAAGCAGTTGAAACCTACCATTCCCATGCTTAGACCGGGCGACCAGATGGTCAACCAGCCGGTTAACCGGCTGGTTGACCGGTTCATCAACAACACTCAGGCCACGGACCAGTTCAAACCCATCAGTTCAACCAGTTCAAACCCGTCACAGTCCAAACCCGTCGCATAATCTGATGAACCGGTTGACCGGTTGGTCAACCAGCCGGTTGACCGGTGTACCCCTTTCAATGGTCAGTAACAGTGATTTGGTAAAATCCATAACTTGTTCTTAGTTTGATACTTTTTTTTGCTGAATTCTCATTTTGATATTCATTTGGTGCAACGGTTGGAGCATAAAAAAGTGCCTTTTCATCAAAATTTGAATTTGATGTTAATTTTGGTTCACCGTTGGAAATGGTCTTACTCTTCACTAATTGTAATTTATTATTTTTATTTTTTAATTATTTAAAATAAAATTATAAATATCATTTTTGTCATTATTCACAGCACTTTTAAAAGACCATGTAACGTGATGGTATTTCAAGACTAACCACTAGGCTCTCCTAAACTATCTCCCTAGTGCTTGATTTTATCATGAATGGTTTCATTTATTTAGGTGAAAAACATTTTTTACAAAATTTTTAAAAAATATATTTTTTAAAGAAAATATTTTTTTATGTTTGGTGGTAGTTAAGGATAGCTATTTTAATTCGATCCGTGGAGTCTTGCCCATACCTACCTAAATGAGATAGATTTTACTCACCCTGACACTTATGTGAGGCGGGAGTGGATTATGTTTTAGTCACCTGCAATAGGCTAGAGCGGCAGCAAGTATTGCTTCCCTCAATCTAAACCCAACCCGATATAATTAATAATATATGTATATATATAATATAATTAGATATAAAAAAATAATATTAAACGTCTATGATTTTGTTTAAATATAAATAAATATTAATTTTAAAAGTCTCACTATTTATATATATGAAAATAAAAAAAAATTATTTAGTTTGTTAAGAATTTAAATGATTCTTAATTTTTTTGACTAGTTGAAATATGATCGGATATCTACAGGTATCGGGTATCCTTGAGGCAGGGATGAGGTTGAAAAATTCCTCTTGTAGCAGGGGTGGAGCGGGAGCAGGGGTGGAGTTTTTGGGCAGGGCGGGGGCGGAAAATGGAAAATCCGTCCCAAACTCGCCCCATGACCATCCCTAATGGTAGTGGAACGAAGGTGGAGGTGGTGGCATAGTGGTGGGATAGCGGCAACAGTGATAACAAAAACGACAGTGGTCATGATGATAGTGAAATAGTGATGGAGGTGAGAATGGTGGTGATAGTGTGGTGGCATTGATCAAATTTTAGTCTAGAAATTTTTTTTAGCATTCTAAAGTGCATTTTCTATCTATATAGATTTATTTTTTTGTTGATCATGAAAAATATTTTCTAGTGACTTTTGATTTTTTGATTGGTGGTGATGGAACAAAGACGTATTGGTGGCATAGTGGTAAGGTGACGGCAACGGTGATAACAACAATGTCATGGTGATGGTGGCATGGTGATAGATGTGAAAGTGGTGGTTGTAGAGTAGTGACATTAATAAAATTTTAGTTCAAAAAAAGTTTTTCACATTTTAAAAATGTATTTTGTACCTATATAGGCTTATTTTCTATTGATTATAAAAAATATTTTATGTTTATTTTCATTTTTTATTATACAAAACACCAGAATATACTAAAAAAAATCTGAAAAATATTTTTCTTCTAAACAAACAAACAGATCATAAAAAATTAAAATAAGGACTAGTTTCACAATGTTATTCCGCACAAAATAAAAAAATAAAAAAAATAATAAAAATAAAAAGAGAAGTAGTTTGATAACCAAAACCACGTTTGGTTGTGTTTTTATTTTGATTAAAAATGTTGGTGCATAAAATGTTTTTACATGAGGAGATGATTTGTCTCGCATCTATTTTATGATTTTTTTTTTTAAATCGTAATATAACTGTTTTATTATGTCTCAGAACTGGACTTTATCATAAAAAATAAAGATTTTTGGACTTTATCATAAAAAAAAAGAATTTTTTTTTTTTTTTCTTTCAATAAGTGTTCTTGGGACACTTACTAAGAAATTTAAAATACTTGTACATAATACATGAGAGGGCGTGCAATATAATCAATATAAACATTGTTAACCAATGCCTATCAAACTCGTTTGTTTTCAGAAGTAAGTTGAATGAAATTGTTAGATATGAAATTATTAGTGAGAGGACTAAGAAAATATATATTTGTTTAATAACTAGTAAACTAACAATAGTTCCTGTTTATTTTGATAAATAAGAGTGGGATTAACCATGTAAAATTCCACGAATAGCCTTGTTACATCACTATCAAATTTGGACTTACCAACTAATTAATGCATTACATATTCTAATATTAAAAATATATTTTATAAATATTAAAATTATATTTCATAAATAAATATATATATATATATATATTTGGTACTATTTTATTTATTTTTATATAAATATTATTATATTATTATATTCTTATATTAAATGATTTTGAAATAAAAGAATGGTGGAATAATTTAAAAAAAAGGATAGAACAAAGACCATACTAATCAGATAGAGTAAGTAAATTTGGTAGGATAATAGAGGGCAAAATAGTAAGGGAGATTTGGTCAAAACCCCTCATAATAAAATTTTAATGTATTAAGGACAAGTACAAAAAAATTGCCTTAAAAAGTCCAACACATACCGTTATTATCAAAATATTAAACTTTAAAATAATATAACTTTTAATGTAAATATTAATTTTTAATAAAATTAGTTATTTTAGAATCCTCTCATCAAGATCTATCAAATAAGATTCATACTGACCATGAAATTCTTAAAAAAAAAAAAAATTATTACCGTTGAAATTGATATAAATAGTAACAGTAATATATTATTCTGTTTGACAATAACATGTTACTTTGTTTCACAATAACATATTACTCTGTTTAACAGTAACATGTTACTCTTAAGAATGGCAACGGGCCGGGCCGAGACCGGGGATGCCACTCCTCGTCCCCGATCCCCGAAGATTAAAAAATCCTGTCCTCGGCCCCGATCCCCGACGGGGAAGGCATCACCTCCCCCGCCCCCTAACGGGGATCGGGTATCCCCGACCCCGAAAAATCCCCGACAGACCTGTTCACAACACAGAGATTTGTTTAACACACACACAAATCTGTTCAAAATAATAATAATAATAATAATCTGTATATGGAATAAACAAAAACAAATTTCTTAAAAACATCATCAACAACACTTCTTAGGCCTCGTTTGGCAACAGGCCGGTTTAGCCAAAAAGTCAAAAAGTTACTAAAAAATTCAAAAAGCCAACAAGCCATACTAAAAAGTCAAAGATTCTTTTTTCTCTCTACTTTTTGCACATCTTTTCATAAAAAGTCAAAAATTCATCCCAAACATACTAGTTGTTTTTAGCACATATTTTAGCCAAATAGCGAAAAAGTTACTAAATTAGCCTGTTCCCAAACGAGGCCTTAGTGTTGAAATTTTTTTTAGTGTAACATACAAAAATATAGAGACAGATACAAAAAAAAAAATAAAAAAAAAAAAAAATAGAGACAGATAGACGGTGGCAGAGGGAGGAGTAGGCGAAAGGGAGGATCTGAGTGGCGAAAAGAGATCTGCTCAGATCTAAGAAAAACGGAATCGATGGTGCCAGTGGCGGGATTTATTCAAATTTGCCGTGGCGGAGGGAGGAGGAGGCGACGGTTCGACGGTGGCTTGGAGGAAGAAGAAGAGGAGGAGGCGGTGAGCAAGAGACAACGACGCCATCACCGACTGTAGAGAGAAGAGAGAGTGTGAGAGAAGAGAGAGAGAGAGAGAGAGAGTGAAAGAGAGAGAGAGAGAAAGATTAGAGGGCTAATTAATAAAGAGTGGTTATATATATGAATGATGGAGGGGTATTATGGTAATTTTATTTCGAGGAGAACCGGGGCTGGGGCCGGGGCCGAGCCAGGTCTTGGGCTGTGAAAGCTATCCTCGTCCCCTGGCCTAAAACTAATCGAGGATTCAACTCCAAATACCATCCCCGGCCCGTCAGGGATATTTTTTGGGAAAAAACCACTCTTCGCGGACGAAAGGTAGGGTCCCCGTCAAGCCGGGCTTAAATTGCCATCCCAACAATATTGAAAAAATATATATATATATATATTATTTTATCCTTACTCAATTATGTATTTTCTCCTTAAGAGGATTTATGAAACAAAATAAATTGGACAGTCTTTTTCACCAAACAAAGATCCAATGGAGGGATTTTGACTAAATTTTATTATTCCCCCCCCCCAAACCAAAAAAAAAACCAAGAAATTATTTTTTTAATACCATCTTCCCTGAGAGACTACTTATCGCATCCATGAGACCTATCATAGTCCCAAGGTATTGTAAATCTCCTTTCCCATTTTACAAACAAACACAAAATTAATAAACCCTACATTTATCCTAATTCAATCAAATTCTCTATAAACAAAAACAAACAACAAACGGACCCTTAGAACATTTGTTAACCAAATCCAAAAATAAAATAGGATAATAATTTCACAACAGAAACGTGTTTTTATCTTTAATTTTTTAATTTATTTTGTAAGGATCATATCACGTACACTGATTAGTGTTTTCAAACTATATTTTTGGAATACTTGTTCTGAAAGTACCCCACTTAGCAAGAAACACCAAACACTATTTGAAAGTCATTTTTGTGCACCAAACATTATTAGCACTCTTCTTCTTCTTCTTTTTTTTTTTTGGTGCCAAAAAAGAAGAATAAACTCGATCCCATAGCAGGCTCAATGACATTTAGGTTCGGTAGCTAGCTAGGCTGTCTCAACAATTTTTTCCATGGCCATACGTCTAATATAAACTTTTGATTGCATTGTATTTGTACCAATATACATTGAACCAAAACATATATAAAGACCAATTCAGAGCAAAATACACTAAGTTCATCTGCACTGTAGGATTAAGTAGTAAAAATCCACATCAACTGACTCGGATACAGAAAGATGAAGAGAAGCAACATCCATATATCCAAACAAGGAAACACTCAGGCGAAAAGATTGTTCAAGAATTAGATTAATTGACTCTAATTAAATAAACATTACATAAATGTCTGCACCCAGCCAAGCATAGCTTCACCAGGCATGGCATACAGATGAAATAAAGCATCTAATATGAAAATTAAGGATACAATTGTGGTGAACCGATATGCGAAATTTGGGAACATATCTTGCAAAATTTTCTGAACTTCACTTCAAAATTGATTTCCGCATTATAATACACTATATTGGTGACTCCCATATGTCCAAATATATATGTATATACGCAAAGCCCACTGGTCTATATAGCAATAAGGCTCTTGCATTAGATTAGATAAATGAGCTATGGCCTCCACCAAGAGGTACTCTAGGCATGAAAACTGCCGATACTGCCAAGCAGGGGCAATACTTGAATCCAACACTCTGAAATGTGAGAGAAAGAGAGAGAGCTCATTAGATCTCAAAAGGCAGCTTCAATAATTCACAAAAAATATACAATTCAATGAGAACTGTCTCTACAGGATCTTATTAGCCTAACTACTTCCACATATAGGTTAAACAAGTATCCACTTATCAGTTGGCAAAAGAAAGGGTTATGATAGCAAGCCCCTCCCTGGCCAGAGGGCCTCCAGTAGTAAGGACATAATGAGCATAAAAAGTTTCCCAAAAGAGGGGAAATCTGAGCAATGTTTTTTTTCCCCCTCTTTTATTGGTTGGAAAACAAATATGATACAATGGATTTTCTCTCCACCCGTTCAGAAAACACAACAAACTTTTAGCTTTCGCAAATGGGTGAAGAGGAAATAATAAATTTCTCAGCAACAAAATAGGAAGAAGATCTATTTGGTTAGAGAAATAACAAACAGGAAGATCTACAGATTTTAGGTTGGATTTGCCTCTGTGAGGAATGGCGAAGTATCTTCTGCAGAACTGGGGTTGTTTACCATGGCATATAAGGGTACGTCTGTTCAGAGCTAGAGCCAATCAGTAGGAAATTAGAAAATTAAATAAATAAATAATCAAGACACTTCTAACATGGCTGATTAAAAATTCTGAGCCAAAAACCTTCGCCAATGGAACATACCAATTGACCATATGTCAATCTCCTTTCCTAAAAAGGGGGGTTCAAGTTCCGGTTTTAACATGTCTTAAACATAATGTTATGCTGTGATATTTTACATTTATTAAAAATCAAGTCTCAGATGGAAAATCAGACACGTTATAGATGTGCTTAGTCCCAAATCAAAATCAATTGATCAACCAAAAAATAAAGGCAAACAGGAAAGGGGTATACATACCGGAATACTTAGTAACTGTCCTTGAGGATTGACTAGTACCGGTAGGCCTCTTCTTGCAGCGACAGGGATAGATTTCAACAACCGCAGGGCATTTTGTGCAGATATCTGTGCATAATCTGAACATACATTTATCTTTCCTGTTACCTGCTCCAATTTTTCAACAGAGAGAACTCTTTGCACTTCAGAATTTTCCATATGATGACACTCTGACAATTTGGCAAGATACAGCCAATCAGCATCAACCATGTGGCGCACCTCAGCTACCTTGTCATGACCAACTAGACAAGACTCGCAACGGTAACCATCACGGGAAATTTTCTCAATCAGTTCCCACTTGACCAAGAATCTGTTCATAAAGTAACCAATATACCCGGGTTGAAGTGTTGGACTTGAAAGATTACTACCCAAAGTTTCAACTTTATGCATTAACTCACAGTTCGACACATCTTCAGTTTTGGACCTGAACTTTTTAGTTTCATCTCTCCGCAATGAAAGAATGTTCCTATAGGTAGACTCACTGAGAATATTAATTCTTCTTGCCTCAACTAAAACAGATTCAGAAGATGTTCCATCCAAAAAAAGCACATTTGAGGCGTCAGGAACCAAGTGATCTAAGTATGGTTTTCCATCGGCTATAATTTGTTCTATTTCACGCAGCATAAAGTGCTTCTGTCCTTCACAAGAGAGTTTGTGGAACAACTCTGTCTTCAAAGGCAAACAAGAATCAACAGAGCAGCAAACCAGGATTTTGGAGCCTTTCGAGCCAGGAGCTGGACAAATGTAACAACCAGCTGCTGTAAAAGAAGTCTGAAAAATCAGAAGAATAGAATTGTGCATTAGAAAAACCAATAATGTGCATTCCAGCACTTTGCAAATTTTAACAAATAATAGGTTCAAGCATTTTTCACTTGAAACCCCAGTGTCTTAATTTCGACAAATTAAAACCTGGAGTTCCATCGTTATTTCATTGTGCCCGCTCCGTCCATTTCCGTCATTGTAAAGTAACGGAGGGGGTTAAAAATGAAAAATGCGTGAAACCTTGCGTTTTTTTGTGTAATTAACCATTTTTTTAAAAATTAAAATCACTAAAGGTTAATTACAAAATAAACTCCAAGGTTTCACGTGTGGACGGAGAGGAAGCACATTGAAACACGGATGGAACTCCAGGATTTAATTTGTCTAAATTGAAACACTGGGATTTAAAGTGAAAAACGTGTGAAACTTTTAGATTTTTTTATAATTAACCCTAATAATTTCTATAAAAAAAGGGTCAGGCAGCGGTTTCTGCGACTTATAATCTTATCTCTATTGATTGCAACAATAAATTCACCACTGACTCAAAATCATGCAGGTCAGGCAGTTTCTTTCCATTTTACAAACATGAACAAAGTACCAGTTGTGAATCAAATGCACCTTGCATGGGAAAGTGCGAAAGTAGTCCAACAGCAATTTTAAAGCACTACCACGAACTGGTCTGTGCCTTTGTGAGATGAACTGATGAAGAAAGAATAATAGTGTTAGCATTTGTCCAAATATATATATATATATATATATATCATTTGAATCATAAAGTTTGAAACAATTTTTTGTATGTGAAACAATCAATATGGTTACAACTAACTGCACTACCTGCAACACCAAGGCAACAAACTTTGAGAGAAATATGTCCTCGACTTTTGATGGATTGAGAATCTCTATATCAATAACGGCGTACCCTTTCTGTACACAGTAGAGAGAGAGATAATCAGATTTCCTTAATTTTCTTTGATTCCTCTTATAGCTCCTTGTTTATGTTATGTGGAGGTACAAGGGATATCAAGTAATCACTGTGAAGTTTACTTCAGGTAAAAATGAAATTATTTTTCTAGTTAGCAATAAAGTCAAATACAGACAACTGTTGACACTGAAATGTATATATCATCATTATCCTTTGCAAAACGGCAAAAGATACATGGTACCTGCAGTACAGCAGCAGGTGCTTTAAATAAAGGGTTTGAAAAAGTTTTTTATTTTAATATTTTTTAAAGGATATACTTACATTCATGATGGTCACAGACTGATTTATCAAATTACAACAACTTTGGTCAACATACAAGCGTGTTCTTCGACAGGTCAAAATAACTGCCTGCAAATCAGAATTGAAGATAGCTGCAAAATAAGAAAAGACGAATCAAGCCTGCATTCTTGTGCCTGTTAATAAGAAGTCAAAAAATCAACACATAAAAGGGAAGATGATACAATTAGTAATATTACCAAATCATCAACCCAATTTAACGAGATTGTTTACCCAAATAAGAAAAAGAAGAGATAATTTGCATGGCAGATATCACACCATATAGCAGACCATTTAAAATTCTATACAAATACTTATACGAAAAATAATAATGTCGATTTATTCAAGATTTATCCAAGATTTATCCAAGTTGTCATGTCTATCAGTATAATTACATGATGATAATCTTTTCAATGCCATTCGGATCCTATTACGAGCAAACAGTGGACTTTGATTTGTCGGATCTTCTACCCATTCTTGATTACCCCCTTGACAAATCTGCGATATTTAAAAAATATACATATTTAGCCAACTCAAAGTAAATATGGAAAGAAACCATATATGATAAAAATGTCACATCATGGATACTCAAATTAAAGTTCTAAACTACAAGTCTCAATACAAGTTTACATGCCTTCAATTCCAGTCTGATAGCTTTACATGCCAGCAGATCTGGAGTTAAATAAACACGTTTAAAGTTAAAACCACAAAGTCTCTTTTTTCTCTCCAAGGAATGATAAATCCAGATCAGATCCGACTCTGATTGACTAGACAATGCTTCAGAGATGGTATGCCAAATAACATGGTTCTGATAAAACTAACCATACAAGCAAACATGATTCACCTTGTACATATCCTCTTTTGATAACTCCAAGAGTGGTCGAACAAGTAAAATACCATGATTATTTGAAGCTTCACCATTAAATGTTGGATATGTAGAGTACAATTGAGAGATAAATGCCATGCCAGCAAGTCCAAGCACGCCACTGTTGCGAGATAATCTAAGAATGAATGACTCGGCCTGCAGATGTGCTCTAGCAATCACTATATATCTAGCGTTTCTATGATGGATTCAACTCAATACTGAAATATTCTTGCCAATTTGGATAACTAGACATCCCGCATTATTTTTCCATTCGTCAATTACATATAAAACCTTACCTGGAAAAAAATTGAAAAAATCCAATTACATTTATAATAATTTCTGTACATGCTACTTATTTCTTTTGTCCACCACAAACCACTAGAGCACATTCAAGGGTAATGCGGGCCCAAACCTGATCATCTGCATGGTGAGCAATTAGTAACACACCAATCTGGTGTTGAATGCAAACATTCTGAAAAATTTGATACCTGGAGATTTTAAATAAATAAATAATCCAAAAATAACATGGTATTTAGTGTCAGGCTAAAGAATAAGTTCGAAGCATTTACATGTCAAAATGAAAAAATGAAAACAACTAATAATCAAGGGAAAAAAAAACCCTAGTCGCAGATACTTCAATAATTTTGAGAAAAATCACCTCCTGTCACGAGCTGCTTCTTGCAAGTGACCCTTCTTTGGCCTACCATCTGGCCATTCACAACTGGCAATCTCACACCTGATTCCTACACAAAGCCTGTATTAACTGTTTATTGTCCCAGGGGATATCTAATAAACTTCAATGTACAACATTAATCCAAAACCACTCGGTAAAAGAAGGGTATACAAACCCATATCCAGAACTCGATGGGACACAGTATTTGCCTCATCTTTACTCTCAGAGCGTAATCCATGATCAACTATTATTGCCAAAAGCCCATCAATGAAACTGCTGCTCTGACCTCCGGTAGCATTAGTGCCATTGGTTTTCCAACTTGCAGCTAACACGCACAGTGCCATACTGTCAGGACCACCAGAAACCCCAAGAGCTGGAAAAAGATTAAAACTTGAAAAATTTCAATGATATCCTCTGTTTACTTGTAATAAAACAAAGGATAAGAGCAAGAAATAAAGGGAGATTTCAATGAAAATAAATGGAGAAGGAAATCAATAATAGAATATCATAAGATGAAATTTTGGCCCAATAAAATGGAGATTTCTGAATTCCCAGATCTGAATTATCAAATTTCAATATTTAAAGTTTTGATTATTTATTTATTTATTATTCCTTCCCTATATTTCAACCAAACAAGCCTGAAAAATGAGAACATAGTATGAAGCAAACTGTCATGTCACAAAAAAAACAGAGAAGGAAAGACGAAAAAAATTGTTGTTTGGGTCCATTTTCAAGATTTTTCTTTTCGTGAAACAAAAACAATGAAAAGGTTTGTAAACTCTCATAATTTTCAAATTGTTTTCATTTTTGCATGAAAATAATTTCTAAAATTCATAAATCAACTTTAAAGTGTTACCTAAAAATGGATTCTTTCAAAAAAAATTCAAAAATTAGTTTTAGGAACAGTTTGTCAAACAAATTTTCCAACTCAGTTTCTATTAAATACAAAAAACCATATCGAAATGCACGCCAGTTTGCTGTCATTTTTCACTATATTCATATTATGTTTTCTTTCATATTTTTTCAAAATGTGAAATTGTTGAACTTTCAAAAACAATTTTCACATAAACAGAAAAATTGATATGAAAGTAGTTTTTGAACTTTTCATACATATATATATATATATATATTCAAATATATGAAAAACAATAACAAACCATACCAATCAGTCATAAAAACCTTATTGTTTTCAAAGTTTTCATGAAACCAATTTTTTGAAACTCATACAAGTGTTTAAAATAGTTCCATTAAAAACTCTGTTTCTTTCTAAGAAATTCGCTTGAAAATGCTTTTCCAATGTCGTGTTTTGAAGAACAAAAAAAGACAAAACAGTTTTCATAAAAATATAGAAAAGAAAAAAAAAAAAAAGATTCAAATTTTGGTTTTTATTTACCATCCTCTGTTTCCCAGTAACCAAATGGAGTAGCTGAGAAAAATACTCAATTTTTATTGATTCCTTATTTTGCTGTTTGTTCATATTTAGGTCATCTGGAAAGAAGGAAGTATAAAAATTTCTCACTGGGATTGCCTAATGCGAACAACTAATTGGCTTCGATTGGTAAAAATTCAACAAACAAAAAAACAATTCACCCAAGAAAATGAAAACAAATAAACTCAACAAATCCAAATATTTGTGTGAAAAAAGACTCAATCGAATAGAAGAGAGGGTATGGAGAGACAGACCGATACGGTGATGAGGTTTGAGACCAGCCATGGCCATCCTCTTCGCGAAAGCTTCTATGTACTTCGACATGTCGATTGGGTCATGTTGGCGACTGGAACAACTGCATAGTAAGCGATTGATGGACGCAATGGATGGATTTAGAGGAAGGTGATTCGCTGAGAAAGGGCTTGTTCTCAATTGGATTGGTGAGGAAACCCTAGAAATGGAGGTTCGTATGAAATGCGAACTAGTTTTGGTCTCCGAAGAGAGGACGAACCCTCGTGCCATCAGGTGGTGATGGCTGCTTATTCTGCGCACCCTTGCGCTGTATAGCATTCCGAATTGTTGAAGAAGAAGAAGAAGAAGAAGATACCGATAAGCTCGGCTTGGGAACACACGCTATCTTCAGTTTAGTTGATGACATGATGTTTGGTTGCGGGGGTTAAACTATCCCATCCTCGACGGATGTTTGTAAGTACTCTTGTTAATACACAGTGTAAACAATCAAGATGCTTTGGTAGTTTTTGAAAATCAAGTACATAATTTGTAACAGTATGTTTGGAAACTTGGGGAAAAAAAAAGAAAATAAATGATTATTTAAGTTATAAGAAAGGAGAAAACAAGAGAAAAAAATGATTGTGATTTTCTCCTTCTTGTTTGATTAAATTTCGTAGAGAAAAAAAAAGAAACTGTTTTATATTATATTATCAAAATAATATTTTTACATTTTGTCAGTCATTTTATTTCTTTTATTTTTATAGGAACAAAAATGATATTATAAAAATATAAGAATTTGTTGGTTTCTTTTCTTTCTCAATCTCTTCACTTTTGAAAAGATTGAAAATGAGAGTTATAAATAAATGAATTTCTCTCCATTTCTCCTCATTTCTTTCCACTTAAATTATCTAAACAAATAAAAAAAATACATTTTTTTTTTTCTTGTCCCTCCAACTCACTCAATCCATAAGTCTGCTTGTTGCAGGCATGGTCAATCTCTCTTGTGAGAGGCTCTCGATGGCCTATTGAACTATGTTTGCTTGTTATTTTCAGTTTAATAAAACAATTAATTTAAAGGTGATGCTACCTGTGTGGGTGAAAATCTGACCACACTGCCCGTTTAGTGATCTGTTGGAGAGCACAGGTAGAATTGATGGCTTTAACAACCTGTAACAGAAAGGAAAAGCTCCGGCGGTGGTTCTTCCACCCAGGGGCACTCCGACGATCAAGTCAGTATATCTCTCAAAGATAATCAAGTATTGAACTGAATACTCAAAACATAAATTGCATACCTTAGACCCACGGGGGTGCCTCTCTTTTATAATATACTCAATCCAAATCCCACTAGAAGTATGACTTCTATGAACTCCAATTTACTGTTTACTCTGGACTCTTTAAGAGATAAAGATAAACTCCCTAAGAACTTTATCCTTATCTTGGTTAAGTCCCCTCTTTGCCTTAGGACTCTTGCCCCTTATCTCGGATTCCGATATCTTCGGAGATGACCTCGGCTTCTCCGAGATTACCTCGGCTTAACTACCAGGGCACGTGGCACCTCGGCTGACACGTCGGCGTCACCATGCCACGTGTTGGTATTCAGAAAATATATCCCCACAAGTTGCATTAGGCAATTTAGCATGAACTAGGGCACGCATGTTTTGCTAACTAGTTTACTGCTTTGGCACGGAGTACGATGTAAGTATTTATACTTTAGCATCTCGCATGTGTGTGAATGTTAACATGATAGTATGCTTGCCATGCGGCTAAATGCTTATGTGTTAAACTGTTTGAATGCCTGTGGGTGGAGGTTGGATTGTTTGAGTTGGAAGAACTCATTGAAATCCGTATTTTAGCCTACTAGCGAG